GTCCCGGGAGGGCTCCGCAGGTAGGTAGGTGCGGGCGGCGGGCGGTCCCTCTCGGCAGCCGCTCCCGCAGGACGGCTCCCCTCCGCCGCGCTGCGGGGGCCGTTCTCCTCAGGGGAGAGCGACCCGGGGCCCGCGCGGGCTCCAGCGCCAGCCCCGGTCCCGGCGCCGCACCTTGCGGGCGCGGGGCCGCAACAAAGGCAAATGGCTGCGCGGCGGGGAAGGCTGCGGGGCTGGCGGTGGCCTCCCTGCCGCTGCCGGGCTTCTGCCCCTCTCTCGGGGCGGCACACGGAGCGGAACCGGGCGCAGCCTTTCATGAATTTATTTGGTCCTTGGGTCTCCGTTCACCAGGTCCTTCTGCCTGCCCCGGCGGGGCTCTTCGGGTTACAACCGCTAGCTCCGCGCCCAGCCCGGGGAGCGCTGCGGGAGCGGGACACACACACACACACGCTTCCCAGACCCTTCCACAACCTTTCCCGGCTGACACCTGCTCGTTTCCCGCATGCCCCCCACCCCCTTGCATTTGCTAGCCCCTCACTCGCGGCCCTTAGCGATGGCTTCCGTTGGCGCAGAAGAGCGGGCCGAACCGCTCTGCTCTGGGCAAATTGTTCGCCCGGGCTGCAGGCGGCTGCTGCTCTCGCTGCGCAGGGCTTCGGGTGAGCCCCCCGGCTTTTTCTCTCCGGGTCCTAAAATAGCAACCGCAGAGGCAACTTTGCAAATTGGCAGGTTAGAGCCTTTTAGATGCCTGGGGGCTTTCGTCCTATGCAAGGTGGAATATTGTGTGCTGGTACGGTATTAGCCCGAGTTTAATTGTTTAAGGGGTAGTTGAGCAGCACCTAGCTCTTTAAATCTGCGGGGTGCAAGTGAGTCATTTCTTAATTTGTTTCCATGTGATTCCTAACGTTTTCAACTCCAGGATGCATTTTCCCACATTCATAGTAGGTTGCGGTACCTGAGCTGTTAGCAAGGGCATCTGTTTGAATCCACAGAGGTAGAAGTTTTACTGCATTGTTGAAATTAGTAGCTATGACAGAATTCCCCAGAGGGAGATCTATAAAACCTGCTCCTACCATTTTTATTTATGCTGCAGCAAAACAGTGCTGGGTGCATCTACACTTTTGCCTTCCCTCATTTCATAGTCATTGTGGCACTGAAAAGCATTATAAACAACTCTGCATTGTTTGTTGGTATTATAGTAAAGCCTGAGGGCTTGGTAACGGTTTCTTTCATTCATGGCTCTCAGAATGCTTCATAGACATCAATTAAGACTGGGAGCCCTGCTGCAAGTCGGGGAGGTTTTATTGATCCCATTTTACAGATGGAGGAGCAGATCGGAGACCTAGAAAGATTTAAGTCACATCCAGAACCTAAGCCATCATCTCACAGATACTAAATCCTCTGTTTAGAGTGTTCTTCCCCACCTCCTCTAATGAAATTCTCCCTTAATTTTACTGGCTGCTCCAGGAGCTGTTTTGGGCACTGACAGGACATGTATGCTTTGGGATTTTGTGACACTGCTCTTGCATATTGCCAAAATTATGTGCCTTTAGTGCCATACTGTTGATAAGAATGGTTTCTGATTAAAACAAGTCTCTGATTGTTCTTTGGTTTGTACTGGGGTAGAACCCAAGAGCTCCATCATGAATGAGAGTGCATTAGGCAAGGCATTGTACAGCCAGACAGCAAAGCATGCGCAGAGCTGGTGAGCCAAATACAGAAAGCCTAGATATCTGCTATGACTTCTTTGACAGCGTCCCTCACAAAAGAGACAGGTCTCTCCTCACTAGGACTCTCTTTGAAGGGCCTATTTCCAAAAGCAAAATAAGCGGTTCCTATTGTGACTGTAACCCAGAAGACTCCTGAACTAGCCTGGTTTTGAGTCTGTCTGCTTCCTTTCATGGCCCAGACAGGAGATGGGCTGCGTTTGAGATCTGGTTCCCATCCTTAAGCATTGCTTATGTTGATCTCCTTTAAGGCCTTTAACCAGAGAACCCCAGCTGTGGTCTCAGATTTAAGTCTTGCTGCCCTGTCTGTAGAGCATTGCACAAGGCAACAACGGTAGCCTCAAAGCATTTACAAAGTTTTAAGCTTCTTAAGCTTCATCTATGTAAGAAAAGCCTATTGCAGACTAGGTGATGATGTACAGCTCCCAGTAGTCTCAGAGGGAAGGTAAAGGAGGAGATGGAATGCTTTTATGGCTTTTCTGGGTTTAATATCCATCAGGTGCTTGCTGAGTCTGGTCTAGTCTTACAAGGTGTTCTGGAAATCCTGATTTCTTAATATGTAAGTTTGTAGGAGGTCAAGTTCCACTTTAAATACAGTCCCCCCAAAACAAAGAATCCCCCCCAACCCCAAACACCTTGGTGCTGCAGTTGCAAGAAGCATCGTTCATTGCTGGCAGGCAAGATATGGTATCACAGTTTGTTTCCTTTCCAGTGTTTCAGAGGACAGTTCTTTTAGAGAAGAGAGAGCAAGCGTAGCTCCAGGGCCTCCATGGCTGGGCATCAGCCAATTACTGTCATATCAGATTAGCTCTATGGCACATTAGCACTTGTTTATGTTAATACAAATGCAGCATGACTGTTCCATAGTATTGATGGAATTATTGTATTTACAGCCCTATAATATGACTAATTGAAAGGGAGGTTCTGATTACAAAACCATGGACTTCCAAGGTGATTCCTTCTGCAGCTTCTGTATGGGCCAGTTTTGAACCATGAAGAAGAAATTAACTACTAGAAGACACAATCCAGTTTTTACTTACCATTGATGCAGTTACCCTTTTGGCAAACTCTAGGGAAAAAAAATCCCGTATCACAAAAGAAACAGAAAGAACTTAAGTGTTTTTCTACCTTGCCATGTCCCTGACTCAGTAACCTGTGCTACGGTAGCTACTTCTTGGCTTCTGAGAAAAGCTCTTGCCTGCCTATGCTCTGTAGGAATCTAGCCCTTGAAACCAGCATTAAGATTTCCTCAGCTGCCACTGCAGCGCATGAGCACGTTCTCCTTGTCCAGAGCAGCTTGGCAGCAGCAGTCGTGGGTGTTTGTGAGATGAGGAGGCATCACATGCAGCACTCCATAGCCAGGATTGTAAAGCTGTCCGCAGCTCGGTGACTTTCCTGCTCACATGTCACCTGCTAGCATTCAAAGGATGTGCCCATTTGTCTGTGGGAATAAACTAGGCACCTCTGGCCAGAATCTCCACAAGTTTTGCAGTCCCTGCTTCATAATTATCTCAGCCTCAGCTTCCAGCTGCTTTGCAGTTCACAGGAGCCCTAACAGCTGGTTCCTGGCAGCCATTATCACCTTCCAGCACAGGAATAGCTTTAGCTCTGAGTCTTTGGGAGGATGGACAGGGCTGGCAGGATCAGTCATATTAGGAAAAATAATGAAGGAGCAGAAAACAGCTGCATGGGCACAGGGAGGGAAGGTAGACTGAGAACATATGTGACAGTGAGGGGAAAATGAAGCAACAGGTGGAAGGCACTGCAAATCCCTAGACTTTGTAGGAGTCACAGATGAGGTAGGATGTGGAAGGAGGCACAGAGCTCCATGGCTTGTAGGAACAGGGCAAGGGATCTCCTCTGCTGCCAGGGATGGATTGTGTTACTGCTGC